ACTTATAAATACTCTTGATAAAAATCAGAGAATATTATCTTCAAGGAGTTCAAAAGGATAGGATTTTTCAACGAAATCAGACAAAGATGTGTGAAATGAGAATGATTCAAATTTAGAGCATTTTATTGTAGAATCCAAAGGAGGAAGAACAAGGGGATGTCATAGATCCGGAGGAGAACCTCGGTGACTTCCCAAGCTATCCTAATGTTTAGCTTCAATTTTGAGGAGAACTTATTTAAGTGTTTCATCCTACCAATTTTATTAGTTTAGAGCTTACATTTGTGTGGAAGAATCACATAAATAGCCTGAAAGATGTGAGGATTTAGGTTATGATGAACGACAACCTCAGAATCCTAAGACGATTTAGGGCTTAGATTGTACAACAGAGCTGTACAAATGCCTAAAAATGAGGTGAGGATTTATGTTGCATAAGCAAACAACCTCGAAGTCCTATGATTTGGTTGTTTAATTCTAAGGAAGAAAATTGGTTTAGTTGTGGAAGACAGATTTTGCTGTTGAAGATGGTCGTACTGCCCACCATGCTGGCTCCAAGCTCCTCGTTGTGGTGAGTTTAAGTTTTCTAGTGTGTCAGGTTATAATGTCAAATCAGACGGCCCTATGGTTGTAGTTATTTAAAAATTTATGGGGGTTGGGGGGGGGAAAAGGGGGATTGGCATGACACTGGTTAGGATCCTATGGTTCTCTTGTTCTGGTACCACTATTTTTTATTTGATTTACTTTGTCCAAATGAATTTACTAAACTCAACTTAATGAGTTCCATACTTTCATTTAGACTGTGGGAAGCCTCGTTAGCAATCGTAGATTACCTCCTTCGAGGGATTCCCGATCACCCGATAGAGACATCTTAACTTAGTAGTAGTTGTTGTTTTTGTGATATTTGTGATTAAATTTTGAGTTGCATTTTGAGTTGTTTTGAGTTGCTTATATTTTGAATGTTGTGGAGGTGATTTTTATCTTGGTTGATTTTAGTTTTGGTTTTGATTTTAGTTTTGCGGCTATCCTAGCATTTTGATTTTCATGCAGTGTGACATCGTTGTTTAGCATGCAAGTTCGTATTTTGGTTATACATGCAAGTAAGTATAGTAACGTACTAAAAAAAGTACAGGAAACTAAACATGTAGGTATATAAATCATAATAAAAGCGTACCTGGATGGTCTTCCCGTTCCACCACCTGAAACTCAAAATGCATGTAAGGGCATTTTATGTAAAGCGGGAAAAATAAGGCTCCTAGATTATATCTTGACGAGCCCTTATTGGTTTGATTAATGATAATTTTACTTGTCAAGCAAAACATATTAAGTTTAGTAGATCTCCGAGGTATCCAACAGATCTAGAGAAAGAAGCAGGTTTGTTCTACTCTCTCATTGCTTGGTGAAAAGTCTCGAGCTCATTTGAACTTATTATGTTACTTAATAATCCATATTGTAAATATTTCTAGTGTTCAATGAACAGTGATGTTTCAATTATCCCTAGCAGTAGGGTCATTATCATTTATCATTCAATTTGAGAATTTTGCAAGCTGAGAATTATGCTGGTGAAGACCCTTAAGGGGGCAAGTTACTGTTATTAAGACACTTGACCAATTTTGGTTTTAACTTTGGCTTGTAGTGTTTAATTTCTAGTTACATTCACTTTTCTAATCCTCATTTAATTAAATTTGATTTAGCTTAGGTCTATACTAAGCCCTTAAGACCCTCGTGGATGTCTTAGTCAACTTGAAAGAAATTAAATTTTAAGTGATAATAATTCACCATAAAAAAAATTTGAATGTCACTTGAACATCAAATATGGGTATTAAATTAGTGAGTTATTAACACCCAAAACTATACCCCTAAGTCTAGGATCATTTAATTTGGTAGACCCCCAAATTTTAATCGTTTAGGAAATTTCAAATTTATCCTTTAATTGGAAAAAGTGAGATTGGTTTCTACCAATTAATCCATTGTATTTCAATCATCCAAATATGCTAATTAAGATCAAAGGTTGCCAATTTCCCTTTCTTGAATTAAGCCTAAATGTTAATTAAGGCTAAATTTTTAAAATTACACTTTTGCCCCTAAGGCTCTATCACTTTCATAATTCATCAAATTTAATTCAAATGAATTTAGAATTTTCATCCCAACTTACTCATGGGTCAATTAAGACATCAGAGGAGAAAATGTGATTTTTCAAATTTTAATTTAATTTATATATTTATATGCAAGAATGAGATTTTTCAAAGAAAATTCCATAACTTGACCAAGACAAAGCCTAATCACTTGAAATTTTTATTGGAGTTAGACTTAGACCAGAGAAACACTTGGGACAAATGTCATGATTTTTTGAGTTTATTTGAATTAATAAAATTATTTTAAGTTTTGGAGTATTAATTAATTATAAAATATTTTAAATGTGGAAAATTAAGTTTTACATTTTTATTAAATCTCTTTGAGGTTAAGGAACCCAGAGGAACAAATTTTATATTTTTTTTAATTTTTCTTTGAATTATTAGAATTATTTAAGTGAAAATCTATTTTTTAGCCTTTAAAAATTATTTTAAGCTTTAAAATTCAATATCTTCACTTAGAAAATTAGGAAAAATATTCTAATTGTTCCTAAGTGATTAGGAAAAAATTTAAAACATTTTCATGAATTTTATCAATTTTGTGATTTTTATTAATTTTTAATTACTTAAATATTTAAAATAAGCTTAAAAAAGAAGTTTTTATTTTATTTACAATTTTATTTTTAGAAAATTTCTCTGATCACAGAGAACTCCCAAAACTAATTCTTATGATTTTTTGAGTTATATTTTAATTATTAAAAATCATTTTAGTATCAAAAATGTCATTTAACTTAGAAAATCAGTTTGAGTCATCAAATGAGCTCCACATATTTTGAAAATTTTATGGAGAGTTCTCTGAACTTTAAATCACAGTGGAGATTTAAAATTAAGTCATTTAAATGTTTATTTTTCCCAAATTAATTTTCTTTGTGTTTTAGGATTTTGTGAGATTTAAGTGTGTTCTTAATGACTTGACTCATGAAAAATATTCCAAAGGGTTCTCTGGTCACAATAAACCTTTAGATGGGCAATACATTACGTCACCTGAGGGTCGACCCCCTCAACGTGGTGAAGGAAAGGCAGCACTTCAGAGCATCGATGATCCTCAACAGGCAGATGACTGACTAAAAGGAGGTAATGTGGTCGGTTGGATAATTCCAACCTTTATAGGAATTGAGCGATGGTACAATAAAATTCTCGATGGGTTCAGTGGCTAATATCTACCAAAAGAATGCCTTCTTTAACTGGTGATGGGCCTTAGTGTACCTGAACAGTTATCTATCCATCAACACAGATCCATGGTTGTCTTACAACTAGGGATGTATTGCTTTTTCTTTGGGCAATAGTGCCCTCCGATCGTTGGGTTTTGATTCCTCCTGGGGGTTTGGTTCCCTTCTCCTTGCTACCACTTCCCTAGCGGAATCTAACATTTAGCCCAACATCTGGTCTCTTAGCTCCTGGATCTTTTGTTGTACAAATTTCCTGGTGCATTCCATGTTCACTGCATCTCCTTAGTAGGTTTCTTCTCCATGATTTGCTCCTTTTTTGTTGGAGGCATGATCCATGCCCACCGCACTTTCCAGGAGATTGGATCTAAATTTATTATGTGAATCACACCTAAGGAATTGAGTACAAAGAACTAGGAGACACTGAGAGCACAAAAATGAATAGTAGAGTGAAAGGTTTGTGTAATATTTTATTCATAAAATGGTCCTCTATTTATAGACAAATGGAAAATAACATATGAAGTTATATTTATACCCTTACTTAAAGTAGGGATTGTACAAACTATTCTAGGTATTTTACCTTTGTGGGCCCATAGCCTTACTTTTCTCATGATCAACAGACTGAACTAAATAGGGTTCGTCGATCATGTTGGTCGGATGTACCATTCAGTGTCATCGGGTGTAATGTTGTCGGTCGGCTTGCTAACAACGGGTCGGTAGGACAGAACTAATGGCCTGAGTTTTTGACCCTCGACCTCCACCAAAGAGTTTCTGCCGACAGGGTAAAACTAGGTCATCAGTTAACAGGTAAATCACCTTAATCCAAAGAGCAACAATCCTTCAGAAGAGAGAATCCTGATGGGATGGGTGAGACTTGTACACTTTTGGTGGCATTTGGGGGAGACAACTAAGTGATCTTGGTATGACAGTCATGGGGGCCAGCTCTCCTTCAGCCCGACTTCATTGTAATCGCAGACTTGGACAATTATTCGCCTGTTGGTTTATGTGTCACTCGGGCTAATATAACCTTGACCGCCCTGGTGACTTAGGCGGTCTCAAATTTACTATATCCAGTTGGATATCTGATTCGCTAATTCGTCTTTCACTGGGCCCTCTTGATATTAAGGTCTTTCTCTTTAGATCATTAGATCTCCTTAAGATTCATGCCCACATATTTTCTATGTACACATAAAACAAAACTAGCAACCTTCTTTATAAAATTCTCAAATTCTCACTGAAATATCAAAATTCATATTAAAACCCCCCACCTCATATTTTTTCTTTTCTTATCAAATTCTCAATATCAATCATAAATGCATTCATTCCATAGTTCTAAACCATCACCTACGTGTCAATTTTATAGAAAGCAACCTTTCAAATGATATGAATGTAATTATCTCCAATATATATATATATATATACAATATCAATTACATAATGTATCACAGACATCATTTTTATACGCAATACTTAATTAAAGAAAAAAATAGAGGCATGTACATACATACCACCCAATTCTTATGTATTTACATATTTAACACTTAAATTTTGATTCTTACAATCATACCATTCAAATTTTTACTCACAAAAAAATTATCACTGTTTTAAAAGTTAAATATATTTTCATGCAACCACATATATATTTATATATAAATTAAAATTTAAACCACATATATATTTATATATAAATTAAAATTTAGGTGGTAGTTATGTAAATACATACGCATCTAAATCTTCCAAAATAATATGGTCCATCTAAACAGCCCTGGTCTCCTCTGTCTCTCATTCCAATGAAGCAACGATCGGCGGGCTGCTCGCAGTGGTGCCGGAGAGCTCGTCGGAGTATTTCTGCTGCTCAACACCTCCACCACCCTGTTGCCACGTCCAAACAATATCCTGCAACGATGGCTTCAAACCCCGATCACAGAACTGCTGGTACTCAATCGTATCCCCCGCCGATTTCTTCACTTCCACAAAATGAAACGAAGGCGTTACTTCAAATATTTCCGCATCTATGGCCAACTGCCCTTTTCTCCCTTCCTTCTTCCCCTGCAATTTCACCTTCCCGTCCTTCTTCCTCACCATAAAACTCTCCATCTCCGCAATCTTCTCGAATCTGGACACAATCGCCTCCGGTGGCTTCTGCGTCGTAAACCTAGCCTCTGCTGCCGTCGGCCGGTTCCCACACCCCTCAAACAACCCTGACAAATCAAAACCCTTCGACAACGATATGATATCAAACGCATTTAAACTCACCGGCCTCGTCGCAAAAGCAGCGTCGACATCGTCGACGATGCCCGCCGGGTCGTCGTGAGCTTCGATTGGCTTAAACCCCTTCTTAAACCAGGGGGATTCGACGAGTTTAGGGATTTTGATGCGGGTATTAGGGTTAGGGTCAAGGAGGCGGGCGATTAGCTTGCGGACATCGGGAGGGAACCAATTAGGGCATCGGAACTCGGCTTTGGAGATTTTGCGGTACATTTCGATGAGATTGGAGTCGTTAAAAGGGAGGAAGCCGGCGAGGAGGACGAAGAGGACGACCCCACAGGACCAGATGTCGGCTTTAGCGCCATCGTAGCCGTGTTTCTTTACGACTTCGGGGGCGACGTAAGCAGGGGTGCCGCAGGTGGTGTGGAGCAGGCCGTCGTGGCGGCGCGTGTGAGCGAGGGCGCTGAGGCCGAAGTCGGTGATTTTGAGGTCGCCATTTTCGTCGAGGAGAAGGTTTTCGGGTTTTAGGTCACGGTGGTAGACGCCGCGGCTGTGGCAGAAATCGACGGCGCTGATTAGTTGTTGGAAGTAGCGTCGTGCTGCGTCTTCCTTGAGCCGACCGCGGGCGATCTGATAGAAATTTATGATCATTAGAAAAAAAAAATTATAAAATAAATTTTATTTTGCACTTATAATTCAACTCTATTTATCTAAAAAATGGCATGGCAGGTTCAAGGAGACCAGCACTTGTGTTTGTTGGAAAAAAATGTATTTTTTAAGACGTTCTATATAATGAAAAATTCTATTTTATATCATTTCTCTTTAATATTACATTAAAATATAAGTTGTTAGTGAAACAATCTATTAAAATTATTTTATTATATATAAACATATTTATGAGTTATTGTCTTATAATTCTTTTTAAAATAAGCAATTTTTAATAAATATCTTCAAAATTGATGGCCATATAAAATTATGACAAAAAAAAAAAAAATCAAATGATCATCTAGAAATATCAATTTAAGCTCAACCTTTCATATATAATAAATTATGAAATCTCATTATATCCTAAGCATTTGCATGCAATGGCTACATGGGGTTCAAATAAAATGATCTTTACATTTGCTATGGTTCTTCTACTTCTTCGTACTATATGAATTTCTTAGGGTAAGTTTCAAGGTAAAACTGCAAGCAATTTAACAAAACTAACCTCTAACCCTAAATTGCTTGATACATTTCTTCTTCTCTTGCTCATCTACTTGGTTCTTCACCTTTTTGTCTTCTTGGATCCATTAGTAGCTTCAGTGGTCAAAAACTTAAGTAATGATGGGAGCTCTTCTCTCAAATTGGGGATCATTCCTAGCTTTTCTAAAAAAAAATTTATGATGTTTAACATAAAAAAAATATCATCAATAACCCACTTACACCGGACAATTATCAAATATAGAGAGTGCAAGCCCTCAAAGTCTTTCATGCTAAAAGATTTTATGTTTACTTATCACTCTGAATCCCTAATATAATATATAAATACTTAATTTCCCAATCCTTTTTGTTGCATTATATTTCATCATCTTTGTACTTATTTTGTCATATGTTCAAACACAGACTCCTACACTAAAATTTAGATTAGCTTTGAACAAAGAGTGCAATCTAGCATTTACTCTTGTGTTATATAATTTAAAAAAGAGCTTCATCATTTCTCCAAGAAAGATCGCTTCATGGCCAAAGACATATAAACAAATAAAGCCAAAGAAGGAAAACTAAGTGTGATAATGTGGTTGTAATAAGCTTCTCAACATCTTAAATACATAATCTCTAAAAACTTTTACACTTTTCTTCCAATGAATCAAGCATTCAAGATAGTTTTAAGATTCATTCATGAACCAATTATCCATGATAATCTTTATTCCTTGTTTTGTAATGTAGAAATAAATTTTTCTAATGAAGCTACATGAGGCATTCAACTACCATGGATGACAAAACATCATATGATACTTATAGAACCTCAAGGAAGAAGGTGTAGTAAATTTTTCAATCCTACTTAAAGCAAAGGCAAAACTACTCCAATCTTATAATCATGATAAACTTCACTATTAGCATATAAGGCTTTATCATCCCAAATTTATTGTCGGATATTTAATAAAATTTGTCATTCTTTTGTCAAGTATTGACATTTATTAACACCAAAACTATAATAATTCATACCATGGACCTCATGCTTTCTTTGTTAGATCATCCACAGCTCTCATATAACACATGATTTAAACTAGCTTATAAGTCAAAGGCATGTCATTTAACCTAATAAATAGTTCTTGATAATGACCTTCAAATCTCAATTTTAAACACGTATTATGATTCTTTCTATACTAATACTATCTCTTTCATAATTTTCACAAACTTTTCATATAACCTTCATTATATTGATCAATTCGTCGCTTATAATTCTGGTTCGATTTCTTTTAATATCATTAACTAAAAAATCAAGGAACTTAAGATCAACCAGTTCTTCTTGTAGAGCCCCACCAAAAAATATTTCATTTAGTTTGATCCTCTTAATTATATTAATTATTGATGCTCACTCTTCTTTCCTCTCAATCAATTATGGATAACTTAATTATATTAATTATTTTTCCTCACCACATCAAGTCAAAAAATTCTTACTCTTCACAGATTAACCACCTTTAACTCTACATGTTTTCACCTATATTGACATATTCTTTTACTTACAACCTCTTGTCCCCCACACCACTCAATAAACAACTTAATAATTCTTTGTTCATGTTTCTACTATCAAACATTTCCACTGTAGAACATCACCCAAATTAGCAAACTTTAGCTCTAATTATATGCCCAATGAAAACCCTTCTCAATATCAACACTCTAAAGTCAAATTAGATATTCAAATTGGCTAATACTATCAGTTTATTTAATCCAACAAACAACTTCACAAAATTTAAAGAATGAATAACAACAACTTCTTAAGAAACTCAAGCTTTATCAGCTTAAGGAACTTAAACTTTCATTCCCCTCAACGCAAAATGCCTTAGCTATAAATGGACATGTCAAACTAATAAGAACTCAAATGGAAGATTCTTTCACAATATTACTCGCAAAAAAATTATGTAGAATACATAAACATGACTGTAATGATTGCAAAATACCCGCTATTTATGTTCTCGTCGTGGTGAGACCTCCTAATAATCAACTAGTCATACATTGGTTATGTCAACTTATTTTTTCCATGGCAAACTTAATGGGATACTTTCTAAGGCTCAATGTTAAGATTTTAAGGATCCGCAACACCAATTCAATTTCTTACCCTAACGAAAACTTTAAATGAACTTAAGCAAAAAATCTATTGCAAGTATTTATATTCATCTACGATAACTAGGATTCATTATCAATATTGTTAATCACTCATTGATTTATAGACACAAGAAAACCAATACGTATATCCTAATATATTTGAATGGCATTCATCTCACATTCAACAATTCCTTTAGCACTTTTGAGCTTCTTCAAAACTTACATTGTACATTCAACATAATTTTGGTTCTTTATATTATATTATTGAACTTCATGCATTTCTAATTGTTTACATCTCAAGTAGTTATAATATACACTTGAACTTTCCAATGACTTTTTGTGAGCAACTGTAAGGTGTTAACTCTCTCTCTAATAAAATTTCATTAAATGAGAATCCACTATTATTGTTTGTCAATCCTAAATTATATCTTCTAGTGGGCTTTCCCTAGCATCTCATATATCATCAGACTATTAGATCTCCCATCTGCAATGAATCTCATGTGTCAATACATGCATTCACTTCCCAATTTATCTCTTAGGTCCTCAAAAGATTGCTCAAATATTTAAAAGAGATGATAAATTATGGTATTTGAATTAACCATGGACAACTACTATAACGGCTTATTCTAATTTATACTTAGCTGTTGAAACTCATAAGAGAAAATTTTAAAATAGTTCACTAAATATTTCTTAGCAAAAATTTAGTTTCAGAGCGCGTAAATAAGCAATCTGTTATGAAACACTCCTCCACTAAAGCCTAATACCATAACTTAAATGTATACTTTAGGAATTGGATTTTTCACTTTTTCAGTAATACGTCTATATTAAAGCAACACCTATTCTCTATTTATACCCAACAAATGTTCCAGTATTTCATCCTCGTACTAAATACAACAAAATTGATTTTTCATATCACGTAAATATGATAAAATCAAAGGGCGTCTCCATTCACCATGTCATTTTTCACGATCAATTTGAAGATATCTTCACCAAAGACCGTTCCATGACATACTTTAGTTAGCAAATATGACATGTTGACGACCCTCAACTTGAGTGGAGGCCCTAAAAACATAAATTTGTCGGAATATATGTAGCACTTCCCACACAAGTTATCACAACCACTCATCCAAAATTATAAACTTACTCTCAACCATTTATATAAAAACAATTTTAGTTGTATTTAACTATATCCTATAAAGTATAGCCCAGACGTGTGCTTGTGTCATATGGGTTTTAAACGAGTTGAATAGAGCTTGAGTTACGGTCAACTTGAGTTTGAGCTTGATTAAATAACCAAGTTCAAGCTCAGTTCGAGCTCGAGCTCGAGCATAATTCTACGAGTTCAAGCCGGCTCACAAACCAACTTGTTTAGCATGAAAGCAAAAAGTATTATTTTAAACTAGTGTTTTAATGAAATAACAAATAGAATAAGCAGTTATGAAAAAATTAATCAGAAATCACATGCTATAAAATGTATACACACACACACACACACACAACACACACACACACACACACACACATATATATATATATAAACTTTTTTTAATAATTTAAAGAAAATTTATTAAATTTTAATACATATTTTTTGTATATTTTTGTTAGAGCTAACTCACGAGTTAACGTGTCGAATCGGTGTTAGCTTGAGTATGGCTTGTTAGCTCATCAAGCTTATCTCACAAGCCACATATCGAGTCGGCTTGAGCCGGCTCACTTACACCCCCACTGTGTCAACATGATTTAGACATTTAAACTGCATTTTATAATTTCTTATATCGTATTAATTTTTTTTTCAAAATGAATATCTTCAATTGATTCCAGCCATGTACATCTATCATTTGTTCTCCTTTAATAGCGAGGAACTCCTCTTTAGCCAAACGTATGGCAAGGAACCCAAATTCTAAATTATTTTAAAACATCCCATGTGATTTAAGGAATAAAAAAAAATTCTTCCCTTTAGTTTTTATCATTAATCTTGTAATCAACTTTTTATATATATAAAAAAAAGAATTATACTTAGAAACAATCAATTTAATTGAAAAGCTATGATATTTCGTCTATTTCATCTCAAAACTAGAAAGTTGGATCCATTAGCCTTTAATCAATCCTTAAACATTCGATCATGCAGAGTAAATATCTGAAGACCAAACAAATAAATAAAAAGCCAACCTTGTCGAAGAGCTCTCCGCCACGAGCATACTCCATGACAAAATAAATTTTGGTCTTGCTCGCCATCACCTCGTATAGCTGCACGACATGAGGGTGGCGCACCAGTCTCATAACCGAAATTTCTCTCTTTATTTGCTCGATCATCCCCACCCTCAACACTTTCTCCTTATCAATCACCTTCACAGCCACGCTCTGCCCGCTCTCCAAGCTCCGGCCGAAGTACACCTTCGCAAATGTCCCCTGCCCGAGCAGCCTCCCCATCTCATATCTCCGCATAAGTATCCAATTTCTCTTCTTCTCCGTCCCCTCTGAGGCTGCCATTGATGCAGTTGCCGGATATGCAGAAACACACGGAGTTGGGTTTGCTGAACGGCAATGAGGAAGAATGAGGTGGGCTTCACATTGTGGGCGGGGAAGGGAGGAGGAGTTTCGGTTCGGTTTAGATGGCTTTGGAATAAATGGTGATTTTGGTTCGGTTTGGTCAAAGATAGTATGGATTGTAGTTGTATGTGTATGAATTGCTATTTATGGGATTTGGGGTTTACTGATTTTTCCTCTTTTCTTACCTTTTTTTTTTTTGAAGATTTATTTAATTTGAGGCAAAAAACTAATGAAAATATTGAATCAGCTTCTATATGCTCCCTCACACACTCCTATTATCAATGGTGAATAAAATGCTAATTATTCTAATTAACAAGTGTTTAGGAAGACTTATTGGAGCTTATTTATTCGTAGCTCATTTCAGAGAATATATCATTACATTTAATTTTATGATATATTATATATGCTTTGAAAATGATTGCTTTTCTAACATAATTGGTTGGGGTTGGTATGCTCTTTTTCTTGCAGTTTGAGGATTCGTTTTTTTGTTTCTTATTAATGTCTAGACATTCTAAGATTTTTCGAAACAGAAAAAATAGAATATTAATACATTCGGTTATGATAGTTTTGGTAAGTTTGCGTCCATTTTAATACATAGATGCACTTTTAGATATTTAAGTGTTAATCGATGATATAACTTTTGTTATGATCTTAATATGTAACATTGGTTTAATATTGATAAGGAAAATAAATAATAGGCTAGAGATTATGTTCGGATTTTGGACATAGAGTGTTAGGTATGGCTCATATACCATAAATGGGACAGATGTTGGAGCGGAGCGGAGCCCACGAGCAAAGTGGAGCGGAATGATCTGTCCAATCGGGGGAGTTTTATAATGTAGGTTGGGGGTGCGGGGGCAACACCCTGCGGTTTGGTACATGGGTAATTTAAGTAATTACATATTGTACTATAGGGTTATATATATGTCATGCTTGTAACCCTAAGTGAGATTTTGAATCTTGAATTATGTACTCTTTTCTTGTTGTGAGATATGTACTTCCTGACATGTAAATGAGGCGCAAAGATCATAAGCAAACACAGATCGTTTACGTGGTGTTCGATCCAACTTCCAACTGGATCTACGTCAACGGAAGGGAATCAATCAAATAGTTCACTAAGGCAAAAGAAATGGAGAATACATAGCTTATACATAGAGATGAGCCCTCATCTTTCTTCTATGGCCTTCCTTTTGTCAAACCTCGTAAATCTCTGTGTGTTCTTCTGGATTTGTGTCGATTCTTATTTTTCTTCGCCCTAATTTCTCAACATAGAGTTACATCCAAACTCAAATCCGTTCCTTCGGGCATGCATTTTAGAACCGTAAAAAACATAAATACGAAGGCGCCCGACCCAGTCCGAAGGGACGGCGACTCACTTTCTGACCAGACACGAAATTTGAAATTCAGAATAAGGAGTCAATTCAAATATCGTGAGTCGAGACAACCTACATTCTCCCTTTTGCATTCTAGGGTTTTTATTAGGTTTTCTATGCGGCACTTTGAGCGGCATGTGCAAAGAATGCCCTGACGTTCTCTCCATGCTCTTTGAAAGCTCGCCACAGATTCTGCCGAAGCGCATTGGACACCACTTCATCGAGGATGTGGACTGCTTCTTAGTGGACGTAGTGTCGCATAGTTACGTATGGAGCCCTTACGCAGAGCTGCGTACGGGCTCCAATCACGTTTTTTAAAAAAAATTTAAGAAAATAAATGAGAAGTGGGGCCACTGACATATACTTTTGGGTATGAATAATTCTAATTGGTTTACCATACACAACTCTGCGTACGACAAACGTAAGAAAAAATTGAACCTAACCGGCTTAGGAATCTTATAAATACTCATGACATTCCCTTCATTAAAGCTTACTGAATTTTTTAAGAAATTGTATATTTGAATAACCTTAATTCTACACATTCTCTGTTCTATCTGCTCAAATTGAGAAAAATATTATGAACATGTCAAGTTGTTGGAAACAATGTATCATGTTATGGTAAGCTTAGTTATTTTATTCCATATGTATTTAACTTTTTCAGGTCAATTGGCAGAAATTAATCAAGACAATATTAAACCCCTCTTTTTTGTTTGAAAATAATTTATTATGCCATTTTAAATTTATTTTGGTTCATGTAGAGTTCGTAATTTTATATTTTTTTGGTTGAATAATATTAATGTATTTTATGTGTACATTGTTATTTTTCTAGAAAAATCTCACTTAATCCTTTTTGTTTTAATTTAAAATAATTTATTATACTGTTTTAATTTTTTGTCCCTATAAAGCTGATTTTTTTCATTTTCTTTGACACAACAACATGAGTATATATTTTGATTGTATATCCTTATTTTTAAAGAACAATCTCATCTAATCATTTTGTTTGTTCAAAAATAATTTATGATGCTACTTTGAATGTATATTTGGTCTGTTTGGGGCAGTTTCTGAGTTTCAGGATAAGTTCTGCATTTCAGGATAAGCAACTTATTCTGAAGCACGACCTGCGAGATACGTTTAGTATAAAAAACTCAATCGCGGCAGACAGCGTTTTCAAAAACGTCGCCGCACTTATAAGCTGCCCCAAATAGGCCCCTAATTTATAAGAAACTTCTCATTTAATTCTTTTATTTAAATTAAAAATAAATTTTTTTTTTGCTAATATAAGGTTATTCTTGTCCATTTAGAATTCATTATTTCATGCCCTTTAGGAGAATAAAATAAGTGCACTTTCAGTTTACATCCTTAATTTTCAAGAAAAACCTCATCTAATCAATATATTTTATTTTGAAATAGTTTTTTATATTGTTTAATGTGTTTTTTTGTCCATGTTAAGTTGATTTCTTATGTGATTTAGTAGAATAATATGAGTGTACTTTAATTGTATTTTGGGTATACATTTTTTATCATCCAAGAAAAATCTCATCAAATCCTCTAAAAGAAAATGTCCAATTAGCATCGAACATTTTTTATGCTAGTAGAGCATTTTTTCCATGCTAAGCCCAATTGGCGTCAAATTAGTGTCAAAATAAATTTGACGTTAAAATGGGTGTTGCGAATTGATTTTTGGTCGACCTTTGTGTCCGACTGCATTTGCATTGAAAAATTTTGTTACTATAAATTTACGACAAAAGAATGACCGACATTAGCTCAGTGATGCCTTAACATCCAACCTAGCCGACACTAGTTAGCGTCGACATGGGTGGATGCTAATTAATGTCGACCATATTAGATGCTAATCAGCGTCGGCTAGATTCGACGCTAATGCATCAAATTATATTTTTAAAATTTGTTTGATGTTGCATCAAATTAACTGAATTTAGAGACCTTTTGGAACCTTAAAACTTCAATATTTCCAAAAATAAGTCTTAAATACTTATGAAAAATTGAATTTTTTTTTGTGTATCAAAATAATATTCAATTTTTTAAATGTATTTAAGACTTTTATTTTGTGATATTGCACTTTAAGGAAATGTATTTTCATATTTTCTTACACGTATACTAAGTCTGGGCATTTTGAGCTTAAATGATACAAAAAGTAAGAAATTTGGAGTCAAAAGTGACATTTTTCAAAAATTGAACTGGCGCTTACACGCCAGAATACAAAGAAGACCACGCTTAGGCGCCAGATTCTAGCGCCTAGGCACTAGAGACTATTATTTTCACAAATGCATTGAATTTAAACGAATTTTGAAGAGATGCCTATGGTGTCTCTTGGGAAATTCGTCCCTACATTATAAATGAGTGTTTTTCTGTCAGTAAAAGTGGTGTGTGTTGTTTGTAAGGGTGTGGGGTGTGAGTTCTAAGTTGGTGGAGAGTGTTGCAAGTGTCTCTGAGAGTTGTAAGAGGAGAGAGAAAAGTGAGATATTCTTCTTCCTTACATTTCTATGAGAGATTTGAGTTTTATTGTAAAAAGAGAAAGAGACTCAAAGGAGCTTCAAGGGATTTGCTTGGGGAAGATATCAAGTTATGTTATTTTACTTTTCTTTCTTGTTTTGTAAACTTGTTTTTATATATAAAATCCTTGTTTTGTTGTATCTTCCTCATGAATTCTGAGCAAATTTATTTTTCATTCTCCCTACAAAAAGAAATGGTTATGTGAAGAATCAAGAGTGTTGTGCAATATTTTAATTTCATATTTGTGATGAATTCAACTTTGAACTTCATTTACTTTCTGATCTGACCAATTAAATTGTTAAAATTTGTTGTGAAAAATACAATTCGAGAGGGCTACGCTTTCCACAACAAAGTATGAATCACATTTGATTTCATGAATGAAAATGTAGTCCATATGGTTGAGTGCTTGAGTGCAAATAAATAAGGAGAAGGAGATATTCATTGATGGACGTAAAATTGGAGATTTTAGGGTGACAGACTAAAATCCCTAATTCAGTTCAGGCGTTTGGAAACTAAAGTGAGATGTAGCCCTCAAGCAAGGGGAATGTGGAAACTCTGGAATGAGAGCCTGTAGCTTTGTAGCCTAACTGCGGATTTAGGGACTAAACAATGGATTAACCAATATTCTTTATATCTTGTAAAAATGATAAAAAATATAATTGCTTCCATTTGACATAATACAATTTTCTTCAATTTGATGATTAACTGACTATAATCTCATTGTAAGGGGAAAAATGTTTTCTTAAATTTGAACTCTCTGTCACAGAACCTAGTTTAATTTTAGTAAATTTAGCTTTGAAGTTTAGAGATTAGTGTATTAAACTTAGTTTCTTTAGTAGCATTAAACAAGTTTCGACCTATCTTTTTACTTAAGTTTTCCATAATTTAAATAATGTGCTTTTGCGTGATTTTCCAAACAAATTTTTTCCTCTCTGTGGGATCAATACTTATGACTTCATTAGAGCTCTCTATTACTTGAGCGATACATATACTTGTGTTTGCAACCTAGTGACGATTTGAAATTAAAAGTATACATTAATTCACTAGGAGTGACAGTTTTAGATATTTTAGTGAAAACTTATTATACTAAAGTAAATTTAATTGTGGTTAATTTGCATATTTTTTAGTATAGTTGTCGTGTGTATTGTAGTATTGAAA